GATGATGATCTGATTAGTCGACTAATCGCAAAATTAATCGGTGACTAGTCGACTATCAAAATAATCGTTTGTGGCAGCCCTAATTGTTACCAACATCAAGATCATAATGATCAGTAGGTGTGTTGCAGGATTGTAACAGTGTGTGTTTGTACCTGTAGGAGCTGGCTGGATACACTGGAGGAGACGCCAGCTTCTTGAAGGAGGATTTTGAGCTGCAGCTCAACAGACGGCTCTTCTGGGATTCTGTAAGAGTGAAATAAGTCACACATGACCTGTTCAGTGTGATTCTGTAATAAAATCTGTGTTATGGAAGGTTTCACTTGGTCATTTTATACTTGATTACTCAGGCTGTATCTCAGCCAACCAGCAGGGGGCAAAAGAGTTGGTTGTTAAACTAAATGTGATGTGTATAAGAAACGTTTTATGTCCCCTCAGGTTTTGTCTGCCTCTCTGTGGGGTGGGATGCTGTGTCCCATTGGAGCACAGCCGTCCTGCATAGCTGACAGGTATGTCTGACTTTGACTCAGCAGCACTGCTACAGTAGACATCAGCAAGTAAACTGAGCTTTTTGACCAGTCAGTTACTCTAAATGAAATATAATGAAGCTGATTTATTGTGAGTTTGGTGTGAAGGAGGACAATTATTTGTTATAATTTGTCTTTTAGACTTTTGTACTTACCAGTAGAACTGCTTTCCTGCGGCTTTTTTTTACCCAGTTTTTGTAATTTTGTCATCAAACTGTCGCCTGAGGGTGAAGTCATTTTGTACTTTGTCCAGGTTTTACCTTGGAGGCCCAACTAGTGTACGAGGATTTGGGATGTACAGCATCGGGCCACAGAGTGAAGGTAAAGTCGATTGGGACATTGATAACAGACATCACCAAGTGTTCTGTCACAGATGTTTGAACACCTGAGAAAGTCTGCAAACTATGAGCTGTTTTTCTGTCACGTTAGTTAAATTGTAATGGGGTACATTACAATTTATGTAATGGGCCCTCTGACCACCACCAGTAGGCGGTAGGTGAAGTGTCTTGCCCAAGGACACAACAAACGAGACTGTCAGAGCCGGGGCTTGAACCGGCAACCTTCTGATTACAAGACGAACTCCCAACTCTTGAGCCACGATCACCCCATTGTTAGTGTAACAGTTCACTGTGGTTCCTCTGTGGGTTCTAGGTGACTACCTGGGTGGAGAAGCATACTGGGCAGGGGGTCTGCACCTCTACACTCCTCTACCATTCAGACCAGGCAAGGGAGGCTTTGGAGACCTTTTTAGAACACATTTCTTTCTCAACGCAGGAAATCTCTGCAACCTCAGCTACGGTGGGTGAACACTGTCGTCTGTGAGATTCAGCTTTTTGCCCCTCTGTCTTTGATACGTTTGCCTGTT